TGCTCTATTAACAGGTTCTGATGCTTTTATGACAATGTCTCATATATTCCTAGAGATTTAAAAATATTTCTTTTTTTTTTTTTGAGACAGTCTTGCTCTGTCACCCAGGCTGGGGTGCAGTGGTGCAATCTCAGCTCACTGCAAGCTCCGCCTCCCGGTTTCACACCATTCTCCTCCCTCAGCCTCCTGAGTAGCTGGGATTATAGGCGCCCGCCACCACGCCCAGCTAATTTTTTTGTAATTTTTAGTAGAGGAAGGGTTTCACCCGTGTTAGCCAGGATGGTCTCAATCTCTTGATCTCGTGATCTACCCGCCTTGGCCTCCCAAAGTACTGGGATTACAGGTGTGAGCCACCATGCCCAGCTGAGATTTAAAAATATTTCTTATGAAGAAATCAAACATCCTACCATATTATGCATATACAAAAGAACAATGCAATGCAACATACACCAAAATTTCCAATACTTAGTGTGGATCACTACAACATGTAAATTGGGATGCAGACATCTATATTGTTTGGCATCCATACCACAGGTCCTTCAGAGATCACAAGGGAAATATTAGTTGATATGGTAGTGGTTTTAATGCATAACCAAGCATTAAGTTAAATTCTATTAGGTTCAGAAAAACATGATATCCCTTTATACCAGCTTCTCTAATAACTATTCCAATAGAAAACCAGAGCCACTATGCAGTATGATTAAACACTAAGAGTGGATAGTCCTCAAAGGCAATGTAATCATTCAGGGATAGCCTAAACAGGAACAGGTTAAGTGGCACAGCAAGCTCTCTCCGATTATACCAATTATGAGTCCCAAAGATATTCAGGAGTGAAAATTTAGGAAATACCCACATTATTAAGAAAGATGGATTATTTTATTGTGGTGTAGATAATACCACAAAGGATAACTTTAAGGGGTTATGTGGGTCTTTGGGGTGAGTGCAGGAAAGGGTAGTTAAAATGTTAGTGCTAAATACACTAAATCTTCTCTACTAATTTCAAATCATTATTTTTCATAACAAGTATATCCCTATCACTTTAGTAAAGGACATACAATAAAATTCAAAATACCTAAAGAAATATTTAATTTGATCCCACCTCTATCTAATAATTGTTAAAGCTATTAATTAGCATGGACATTTAAGAACACCTTCAATCCCCAAATTCCTGACAGATAACCGGCCTCAAATCCTTCCTCTTCTTCTGTATCTGATGTCTTATCTGAAAGGTCAGCGTTTAGGAAGTTATAGTTCCTAACAAGAGACATAATACATTCTAAATCGTCTTAAAATTTAAAACTGCTGCCGGGCGCGGTGGCTCAAGCCTGTAATCCCAGCACTTTGGGAGGCTGAGACGGGCGGATCACGAGGTCAGGAGATCGAGACCATCCTGGCTAACACGGTGAAACCCCGTCTCTACTAAAAAATACAAAAAACTAGCCGGGCG